GAGAGTGCCATGCTGTCACCAGTTGAGATGTCTCTGAATCTTTGAACCTCCCTTTGAGTTTCTCTACTTCACTTTTGGGGATGGAGTGGGGAATGAATGTAAAACAGAACTGAGCTGCATCCCTGACCCCTTTTTACGTGTTTATTTTGAGCTCCTGTCTTGCTAAATTGCTAAATGTTGCAGGCTGGACTTAAATTTGTGATGTCCTGCTTCAGTGCCGCCCCCCAATGCTGGGTCCACCGACGTGTGCCACCATGCCCGGCTCTATGTGACTTCTTTGCTGACATAAAAATAACCCAGCCATGTGGTGAGTGGAGTTCTGTGAACCGTCAGACTGGCGGATTTAGCTCAGCGGTTGGGTCGCCTGCCTCACAAGGTCAAGGTCTCCATTTGGCTCCCTGATACCAAAAAATGAATGAATTAATTAAAAAAAAACCAACTAAATCAAGCATAATGGCATGTGCCTGTAATCTGAGCATTCTAGGAAGAAGAGGCAGGAGGATCACCAATACAAGTGTAGCCTGGGTATTTATTGAGAAAGCTGTCTCAAAAATAAAATGAGGGCCGTTGATGTAGCTCAGTGGTTCCACCGCCTGACTCACAAGCACAAGGTCCCAAGTTGGAACCCTGGTATGGAAAATAAAAGAGAGGAAGAAGAAAAAAGAAATAAATAAATAAGGCCTGAGGATGTAGCTCAGGGAAAAGGATCCAACATGGTGAGGTGGGATGGGGTGAAAACTGGAAAACTAGATACCTTTATAATTCTCACGATCTTTTTTTTTGTTTTTCTCTTTTCACTTTTTAAGTCAGTTAATTAATTAATTTTGTTTTCCTCCCTTGAGTGGTGGGGCTCGAATCCTGGGCTTCTCTCTTACATCGCTAACCCTTTAATTTCTTTGTATCTGGTGCATGAAAAACTTTAAAAGTATACTTACGTGTAGGGTGCTGAGTTGATGTTTTGATATTTGTATACATGATGTAAGGTGCACTTTGAATAACAAAAAGGTTTTAATTTTGGACGAGTTCTATTCATCTGCCTGTTACCTCACTGGTAGCATTTTTGGTATTATATTTAAAGCAATGGTTTTTTTGTGTGTGGGTTTTTCGGTTTTTGTTTTTTTTATATATACTGGGGCTTGAACTCAGAGGCACTTGCTTGCCAGGCAGCTCTGCAGCTGAGCTACAGTTCCAGCCCTAAAGCAATGTTTAAAGTCATGGAAATGTATTCATGCCTATCACAATTCTGTGGGATTTTTAGTTTTATCTATGATATATGGATATAGCAGGATGCTTTGTTAGGTTGATTGAGATAGGGTCTCCTCTCACTATGCAGCCCAGACTGGCTTCAGACTCACTGTGATCCGCCTGCCTGAGCCTCCCAGGTGCTGGGATAACAGATGTGCACCATCATTCCCAGCTCTAGGTGCAGGATCCACTTTAAGACAGTGTTTTACATGGTGTGAAGGATGGGTCCAAAATGCATGTGGAAGATTCACTTCTCCTGTCATCATTACTTGGAAAATATTTTTAAAAAGAATTTCTTTTTGAGACAGGGTCTCACTACGTAGTCTGATCTGGAACTCACTGTGTAGCCCAGGCTGGTCTCAAACTCAACAGCGATCCTCCTGCCTCAGCCTCCTGAGTGCTGGGATTACACGGGTGCACCACCATGCCCAGCTTACATATTTCATTTTCTTGTGTACTCAGTAGAATCAGTTGAGGTTACATAAATTTGGGGGGCACTAAGGGCTGTTTAATTGATCTATTTTGTTGTTGTTGTTGTTTTGTTTTATTGGTACGGGCAATGGAACTCAGGACCTTGCACTTGTGAGGCAAGAAATATAGATCAATTGGGCTGGGGATTTAAATCCCCAGCCCAATTGACCTATATTTCTCACCAAATTGATCTATATTTCTAACCAAGCATCCCCAGCTAAATCCTGAGCTAAATCCCCAGCCCAATTGATCTATCTTTCTAACCAAGCATCAGTGTACAATATGGTGAACACAGACCTTTTCTGGTGCTTTCAGAGTTTCAGATCTTTCATTGATCCATTCAGAGAGGGTAAGTTTGAAGTTCCAGCTTGAGTGAACATTTAAGTTGAAAGTTACGTTCAAGGGAACGGGTTGGTACAGAACGCACAGAATGCGGTGAGGAATAGAGAAGCAAGCTAAACCTTGAGGACATGGACCTCTAGTGGAGGAGGCTGCCACAGAGCCTGAAAGAGCAGCCAGATAAGCAAGGTGAAGACCTCTAGGTTGTGGTCACAAAGCCTGGGAAGGAGAATGAGATTTAAAAGAGATAAGAGGTAGAGTTTTCTGAGGGACCACGTAAGACCACGAGACAGAAATTCAGAAACGTATTCACTGAATTGCTCATCATCAAGTCTCTTAAATGCTTGACAAGTTTGACAGTGCACAGAGAAAGTAAGTGGTAATTTGGGAGTTCAATGGAATCGAGGACCACGCTTTATTTCAAGATGGAAGATATTTGAAGCTAAAGGTATATAGCTCAGTGGGAAAGCGCTTGCTCAGCATCCACTAGGCTGTGGGTTTGCTCACCAGAGTAATCCTCCACCCATAGGTGGTAGGTACAGTATTTGATTGTCTGCAGAAGTTAAGAGTACAATGGAAAGGCCAGGGATTCAGCTCAGTGGCATCACTTCCTGTCTCGCAAGTGCAAGGTCCTGAGTTCGATCCCCGGTACCACACAAAAGTGTACAGCGGAGTTGAAGTTGATGTTGACGGTAAAGAAGAACCAAAGGATAATCCACAGAGTAAGATTCCTGACAAGAGAAATAGGGATCAGGCTATGAGTCCTTCATGGGGCACTTTTTCCCTTCAGCAAATGCATATTTGGAAACATTTTTTGTTTTCACAACAGAGATGGATCCAACTGACTGGTAGTGGGCAGAATCCAAGGATTTTGCTGAGCCTCCTGCAATGGACAAGGTACCCTACCTCCATTACAGTGACATCAGTGGTACCAAGGATGAAAAACTAGCTGAGGAGGAAATATTGGCTCTAGGTAAGAAAGCAGATATTTCCTTGTTGGTAAAGTGAAAGAAGAAACCATACAGCGTGCGGATTAATTTTTTTTTTTTTTTGGTAAAATCTAATCTTTCCATGAATATGTGCTTTCAACCTCTACCACTGAGCGACGTATATTCTCTCCTTCTGCCAGATTTTTTTTTAACTTTACATTTTTTCTTAGTGTATGATTGCAGTACATAACGATTACACTCTTTGTGGGAGGAATCCGAACACATGTATAGCACATTTTAATTCTTTTTTCATTCCCTTACCTTCCCTCTTTCCTCCATCTCTTGGTCCCTTTCCCATTTCAATAGAGCTTCCGGTTTCCTATTAGCATTTAGTTTGCTCTTTCAGTGATTTGGAATTACCAAATAAGAAAAACCACGCAGCACTTTAGCTCGTGTTATTTCATGCTAAGTCTTTAGATTTTTCAGTTGCTGTGTGGGTTTAGTCAAGGATGAGCTTGGTTTGGACTCCAGCCTATGGCTGAATAGAAAGATGGGCGAATGAGTCGTCTTCAGTTTCAATTAATTGCAGGAGTCAAAGATGAAAGGATATCATGCCAAGGATAGCTTATTGTCTATCTGTAAGTCACTAGTAACTATTTACTAAGTACAGTATATTAAATTTATATTTAATTGATATATCTATGTAAATTTTATATACTAATTATTTCTGTGAATCAGTATAGAAATCATTTTGATAACCCTAAGAAAATTGAAAGTTGTACTCTCTGACTGTTATTTTTTTACATCAGTAAAACAAGCCAAATAAATTGTTCCTTGCAGAACTTATATTGCAAAATAAATTAGTTTTAAAAACACAGAAATAATCCTCAATGTAAAAAACTAAAAATTCAACAAAAAATGCAAAATTTCTGAACCAGACAATATCAGACCATACCAAAGTCATGACCTAAAAGTTCAAAGTACAATAATCAATATTGTTTCTGCAAACAAAGCACTATGTCACTGAAAAAAATCAGTAAATAATCCCATTAATGACAGTTTCCAAAAATAGCAAATAACTGAGAATGATCGTAACAAAAAAATAAACATTCACTATAACAAAATCTGTAGTGCTCTAAATAACAGAGAGAAAATGAAGAATCTAGAAAGCAGATGCTCTTTGATCCTGGATAGGCACAGCCAGTGAATATAGTCAAAATGTTCATATTCCCACAGATGACAGATGTTTTTAATGCAATTCCCAGCCAACTACTTCCACTATTACTTACAAAAGTATAACGTACACTGCTACAATTCATAAGAAGTCAGAAAAGACCAAGAGTAGCCAAAGAATCCTGAGCATAAGAGCAAAGCAGGTTGAATCATTATTCAAGATTTAAAGTTATGTTGTTAACTTACAGTGATAAATATATCATAGTATTGGCATAAAAACATACATATGGATTGCAATAGAAGTCAGAATGAAAAAACAAACAAAAATTTTGTCAGCTATTCCCGGGACAGAGAATTAATATTTAGAATATTTTTCAAAAATTCAAAAATGTTAGACCCTCCAAATAAAGACCAAATATTTAAAAATAAGTACTCATAGCCACAAAATGTAGAAAGATTATGTTCAATATCTATGTCCATTAGAGAAATTCAAATCAAAACCCCATTTAAATTGGAACTCATTCCAGGAAGCATGCATAAGAACACAAAAAGTAATGCAGGTGGGGTTGAGGGGGAAAAGGAACCATTCTGCAAAGTTATTGCAATAAGAAATAGTACAAACACTCTGAAGCGTCTCCCAACAAATTATAATCAGAAATACAGGTATAACTATTTTGGGTATTTTCACTAAAGATGTAATGACATCTTACAGATACATGCTTTCACTGTTTGTAACATCGCAGTTCATAATATCTAAATTTTGGAAACAACCTATATATCTACCAAATATAAATATATTTAAAAATCTGGTATATATACAAAATGGAATACTACTCACCATAAAGAGAGACGAAATGCACTTAGGAGGTTGAGGCAGTAAGATGACTGTGAGGTAGAGGTCAGCCTGGTTATCCCAGCCACATGCAAGCCTAAACTATAGAAAAAAACAAAACAAAAGAAAACAAAAACAAAAACAGAAATATTTGATTCATTTGTGGGAAAATGAATGCATCCTGAGACTATAATGCTAAGTGAAATGAACTACACGTTAAATATTGAACAGTTTCCTTTATAGGAAAAGCTAAAAATATTCATAATTTAAATGCCACATCAAAGAAAAGCGAAATGAAAAAGGGATGTAGCTTTTGAGAAGGTAAGAAGGGGATCTAGGTTTTAACAGAGAAGACTGGTTCTGCCACCTGCCTCACAAGTGCAAGGTCCCCATTTTGATCCAAAGCACCAAAAAAGCGGGGGTAAGACTAAGCAGAGAAAGGAAAGTAAAAGTAATTAACATGTAATATGTATATGTAATGATTCCACAAGATAATTATAATTATTATAAATCATAAATGTATACCAATTAAAGAAACAACAAAGAAGACTTTGGCCAAGATTACAATATAGGGTTAAATTTGCCTATCAACAAATCCATGAATCAAGTAGGGAGCAGTTCAGGGGCCAAGGAAACCACAAGCATGAGGGTGCAGGCATGCATGGCATTGGGCCACATAAACCAGTGACCACTCACCTGAGCAGCATTGGCTCAGAGACTTCATGGCCAGGTCAAGGGGAAGATGAGGCAGTTGGAGTAGAGTGCAAAGTAGTGTCCAGGGGCCTGCACGACCCTTTGCTGCTCCACCATCCTTTCATGCAGCAGAACGTCCTGAAGCTTGTGTTGATAGAGCTCTAAGTAGACAGCTGAAAAAATGGGATTTGTTGACCCAGAGCAGCCAATCAGTACAGGAGACAATTTCTGTTTGCATGGTGTGTTTAATGGTGAGGAGCACTATAAACAGAACCAGCTGCTGCATGAGGTAAGGAGAAAATCCACCAGCTGAATGTTTCAATTCATCTCTTATCTAAATGTAAGCATTTATCTTGTTACTGCCCAAAATTTGTTTAAAGGATTAAAGCTTAAGATAATTATCCTTTATTAGTAAAATTTAAAACAAAACTTTATTAAAGTTTTTAGATTTGTTGAAATAATTTTGATCTCTACTGCCTCACTAAAATTAAATCTTTCAACATAGGGAAGGGTGGAGGAAGGGAAGGGAGGTCAGGGGGATGGGAAAAAGAAGAGCAAAGGTGTGTCATGTAAAAGCAGAAGATCTCAACGATGAGTGTAACTGTATTTTCTACCTAAAATGATTCAATAAAGAAAGAAAACAAAAAAATAAGTGTTTTTCAAAATGAGTCTTATAATGTTTATTTTCCTTACCTGTCAGGCAATGCAGTTTGCACTTTGTCAGCAAGGCTGTTTACAACAATATCTTATTTTTAATTATATAGAAATTTAATTGCCCCATTTTATTGTTACCCCACCAATAGGCAGAAATGACAGTTCAACATATAAAACTTTCAAAGTGGAGATAGCAGACATTATATATTATCTTTAATAAACTGCACTATTTAGCTGGAAAAGATTGGCTTTTTCTCTTAAATCTTAGAACTTTCCCTGTAATTTTCCTAGACTGTGTTCCAGAAGAACTCCTCATGTGAAAGTTGTGTGAAAACTACAAAATTTTGCTATTTGCATCCACCAAAGCTAGTTGGCTTGTTAAATACATGCTACTGAAGAAAATCTGGCCCAAGAGGCAGGCATCCCCTATGAGCTTACCCAAATGTTCTGACCAGAGAAAATGAAACAATATTTATAGGCTAACTTAAGAGATGGTTGATACAAAACTGTAAATTTAACCAGCCAAATACATAGACTAAGAGCTTATAAAATAAGCTTATGGATTATTAACTCTGTTGGAAACCAGAGGAGAACGGAGGCCTAATTGGCCTCCTCGGTGAGCACAAAGGAAACACGCTGCACTCAGGTGGGATTATATACTGCAGGGGCCAAGGAAAATTTAAGGCACCTGAGGTTGTTTACCAGAGTTTGTATTAATGAACTGAGAACATTGGCCATTTCTGTGCTACAGGTAAATTTCCCCAGTGCCCTTTGTAAGAAATGATCTTACTTGTCTCACTTTTCCAGACCAAAAAATAAATAAATAAATAAAAAATATTTAAAAAAAGAGGAATTGGACTCCAGAGGCAGCAAAAACAAAGCTTTCAATCCAAACTCTTCTGAGAGTGGTGTCCACACAGACACAGGTGCAGACTAGTTGAGAAGCTGTGTTTTTATTCCTAACTCACAGGAGTTCTCCCTCCAATCTCCATCAGCCTGGAGAACAGGGTTCACATTCCATCCTGAGAAATCAATTTCATCCCACACCTGTTGTTCCCCTACAGTTTTTTTTTTATTCCCTCCTCACTCTGTATTTCTCTTTGTACTTATTTTTAGCATGTTGGCTTCCCAGACTGGAGGAACATCAGCTCAGGAATGTTTTTATAGCCTATGTGTCCTTGTTATCTGATCTAAGTCTATTAGCTATTACTAACTGTGCTTATTAGCACAGTTACTGAAATATGAACCAATTACAAATTTTACAATCTTTTCCTCTCTTTATTATAGAATCCTTTTGCTATTTTCACATTTAAAGGGTTTAGTTTTGTTTCATTTTGTAGTTTTCAAGTCTTTCTCATACTGGTTGATTTTCTTCATCATAATACGATAGTTTCTTGTAATTGTAAGAGATAAAGTTTTTGATATGCTACAGATCTTCTTAGTTGGGGCAGACTCAATCTTTGGGCTAGGACTCTCATATCTGCAATAATGCAGCCTCCTATGCCGGGGCAGACTCCAGCTACAATTGTGAGGGATGTTTCAAACAAGTTTTCTAGCCACCCTGTGAAAGGATCATCAATTTAGGAATTTTCAGTAACTTCGTCAGCTGAAGTATGGAAACCTTACAGTGTCTTAGTGATGATCCCATCTGAGACTTTATTATAAGGAATAAAAGTTCAATATTTTCCTCCTAACAAGATATCTTCTTTCCCCAATATCATAACTATAGCAATCTGGTGTTCACAGGCCATCTAGCTGCCTGTATGTAGTTGGCTAACTATGCCATGAAGTGCATCTCTTGTATAGTTAAATGTGTTATATTACAGAAGATTCAATGCAAGAGTTTTAACTTCCTAGTTGTGTCTTGAAATGTATTTCTGGAAGAAAGTAAGGTTTATCGAACATTTTGTCTAATGTTGTCATTCACTTTTTGGTTTTTGCGGCTTATGATTTTTGAAAATATTTATTCACTTTTAAAATGCTTAAGAACTCAGGCAGTGTTTTCTGACTGCCCACAATTATCAGGGTCCTAATAACCAACAAACTGCTATCAATTCTTTCCACTACACTTTAGTTTCTATAAAGACTGAAAGACAGAAATGTGAAGGTAAAATTACTCATAAACACGATTTAAATCTTATCTAAAGAAAGAAGGAGGGACTTTGCTTCTGTACTTATTATCTAGTTCTGCCTGGATGTCATCTGATCACACTTTATTGGTGTTTTTACAATTTTATTGGCTAAGAATATAAATGAAAAATTTTATCGGAGTATTTCTTCTCTCACTTTCATGGGGAAAGTCATTGTAATTATGTGATTAGTATTTATCTTTTAAGTTTTTGAGGGAATCTCCATTAAACCCAACACCCCATCCCCTCCTCCTGCCCATGACACCCACCATTTCCCTTTCTGTACCAATGAAACTGATGACTGTCAGTACCTCATGCAAAGGGAATTTAGTGCTATGCTTTGGTGACTTTGTCTTATGTCATCAATGTGTATCCATGTTTTTACATTTATCAGAATTGTCTTTTTTTTAAAGGCTGTATAATATTGCTTTCCATCCCACATTTTTAATATTCACTCCTCAGTAACTCTGTGTGTGTGTGTGTGTGTGTGTGTGTCTGTGTGTGTGCGTGCGTGCGTACATGTGCTTTTCTTACTTTAGGTACAATTAATTCTGTTGTGAGGTACGTAGTTGTGAAAATGTTTTTTAGATTTTTTTGGAAAGTATTGATCCACAGTAATACTTAATAAAATACATGTATGCAATGTGTAATAATTAAATTTGTCTAATTAGCATTTTCACTATTGAGAATCTATTTTCAAAATGTTTATATTTTCCTAGAAGAATAATTTACTTAAAAGTTTCAGGAACTGCCATAATCTTTCCAAGAGTGGACATACCATCTACCATTTTTCACCAGCAATATATGAGTTTTCCTATTTTTCCATATCCTCTGCAACATTTATTACAAGTTCACTATTTTTTCCTTAATTTCATTTTTTCTGTTCCACATATTATTCTCTTTCCTTCTGTCTTTCTCTTTGTTTCTTCTTTTCATTTATTTTTGAGACAGGGTCTCACTGTATAGTCCATACTAGCCTCACACTCACTAGGTTGCAAAGGCTGGCCTTGAAATCATGACAATCCTCCTGTTTTGGCCTTCCTAGCGCTGCAATTTCAGGCATGCACACCCATATCTGGCTTCCTTCCTTCTCTGTGGTGCTAAACCATAGTGTCTCAAAACATAAAAAGATAAATTTGGTTCATTTGTAGGATACATGAATGCATCCTGAGACTATAATGCTGATTGAAGTGAACTACACATAAAGGGTTATGTATTGAAGAATTTCACTTTAAAAAAAAACTAAACATGTGCATAATTTAAAAGGTACCTAAAAGAAATGTAAAATGAAAAATGCATGTAGATTTTATGGAGATAAGAAGGCGACCTGAGTTTGGAAAGATGAAAAGATGGGGAGGGAAAAGGAAATTAAAAACAATTAAGATGTAATATATTAATGTTACCAATTCCCTAATATAATTATAATTATTATGAATCAAACTTGTATACCAGTGAAAGCAACTACAAAGACTTTGGCCAAGATTACAATGTAGGGTTAACTTTGCCTATTTCTCATTGAAAATGTGATGTGATTTTCTTATCTCCCATCTTTTCCTCCACTCTCATGCAACCCCTCAGCAGTCAAAAAACCTAATGTCCTTGGTCTCTATTACAGGGCTCAGAACCACAAGTCTGGAAAGCTATGCATGTTACAATAACAATAGCCACACAAAAATTCAACATCTCAGAGGATGAGTTGACCACGATTACACAGAAGTCCATGTATCACAAAGGAAGAAACATGTGAAACTGCACACTTTGGCACTAAAATTGTGAAACCAAACCCTATCAAAGAAAATCATGTTTAACTTCCTGCTACATTCATTCTGTAATCAGAGTGGCTTCCCTTTCCTTAATCGGTGCCATCTTCGTTCAGTAGAAACCACAAAGACTCACATGCCTTATGAGTGCCTGAAATTCATGCCACAGTCTCAATTTTTTTTTGTTTGATACCAGGGATTGAACGCAGGTGCTTGCACTTGCAAGGCAGGCCACCGAACTGAGCTAAATACCTGGCCCTCAAGTCTCATTTCTATTCCCCTCCAATAAATCATAGGATCATGTCCAGTAACCTATCTTATTGTCCTTATGGCACTCTCCTTATATTTCTTGATTTCTGCTCCTTACCTCCTCCACTCTTCCAACCTGTAGGCACCCTGGGATGAAATGAAGAAGTCCCTGCCCAGAAGAGCTCAGTTCCCAGTAGGGTGACAGGGAAAAGCATAATATAAAATGAATGCAAGGGGAATGGGATTTAGAAGTCATGGATAGAAAGGTTCACACCACTTCCCCAAGAGGCAGGGGCATCTCTTAAAATGGGGACAGGAAGAAACACAGAGTTGCAGAGAGCATATGAGGAAACTGTGGTCTGGAAAACCTGGAGCTTCCTT